GTTGTAAGATTGAGCCCCACCTCAGACTAGCTGGGTGTGAAGCCTACTTAAGATTCTCTCTCTCTTCCTCTCCCTCTGCCCCTCCCCACCCATTTGCACTATCTCTCTCTTTCAAAAAAATAAAATAAAATAAAATTGAATTAATTAAATTAATAAAAAATAGAACTATCATATGATCCATTCATCCAATTTTGAGGTATATATCCAAAAGAAGTAAAATCAGTATCTCAAAGAAATATCTGCATCCCCATGTTTATTGCAGCAATGTTTACAAAAGCTAAAGTATGGAAACCACCTAAGTGGTTGAATAAAGAAAATTTGGTGTGTCTGTGTGTATAAAATGGAATATTATTCAGCAACCAGGAAAAGGAAATTTTGTCATTTACAATAACATGGATAAAACTGGAGGGCATTATGCTAAGTTAAATAAGTCACAGTGAGAAAGACAAATACAAAGACAAAGACAAAGCATGATATCACTTATATATGGAATTAAAAAAAAATGAAGTCCTAGAAACAGAGAATAGAAAAGTGGTTTCCAGGGGCTGGGGGTGGGGATAAAATAGTACAAAATTTCAGTTATAAGATGAATAAAGTCAGTGATTCTATTGTATAACCTGATGACTATAGCTTATAACACTGTGTTGTATGATTGAAATTTGCTAAGAGAGTAGAACTTAAATGTCCTCACCAAAGACAAAAAATGGGTGATAGATGTGTTAATTAACTCAATGGGGGAAATTCTTTAACAAACAATGCATATGTATATCAAACAATGCATATGTATATCAAATCCTCACATGGCACAGTTTTAGTATCTTACCATTTAATTTGTCAATTATACCTCAATAAAGCTGAACAAATATATCATAAAAATATTTTTAGTTACGATCTGAAGATTACTTATTGTAAAATATCTGTTTACTCAGAATACTTCCTATCCATTCCAAGTAAAATATATGCAGTATATGCAAGTATGTATCCCATTTGCTAATGTAAAAACTTCCAATGGAAATTCTTAGAGAAATATTTTTCACTTTCCTGAATTAATCAATCCTAAAATATGATTCTCCAGGCTAGTACCTTTCCTTGTGTCCTGAAAACCAGGAACAAAAAGCTCATGCCAGTTAGCAAAACTGCACCAGATATTTTGCCTGTATGTGCGTGTGTGTATTTTCATGCCTCTGCATTAATTCATTTCTATTCAATTCATCTTTTATTCTGTTTTTCTGTGTCTTTACTGCTGGACACATTTCTAAACAAAGTTTACTGACAATTTTTGGTGTGGTCATGGCAATTACTGTCAAATGAATTTCAAAGAGGTTGTTGTTTTAACTTATCCCTTAATTTTCATTTCTTTAAACAGGATAAGCAGTATTCTGAAGACATCTGTTCATTTCAAGGAGTTCCTGAGAAAGTAGCTGAAATTTAGTTCTAAAAAGTAGCAATAGTACAAAAAGAGTTTTACTGTGTAATACTGCAGTATCTGCATAGGAAGCAAATTCAAGCAAATCCTAGATTTCAATTAAATGTGAAAAGTTTTTTCAAAGTCTATCAATTTAAATTGTTGGATAAAGTAATAGTGACCCAAAACTCAATCACGATCAGTTGGAATTAGAAGTAAATTTTTTTTAATTTTTTTTTAAAAGATTTTATTTATTTATTTGACAGAGACAGAGACAGCGAGAGCAGGAACACAAGCAGGGGGAGTGGGAGAGGGAGAAGCAGGCTTCCCGCTGAGCCGGGAGCCCGATGTGGGACTTGATCCCAGGACCCTGGGATCATGACCTGAGCCGAAGGCAGTCGCTTAACCAACTGAGCCACCCAGGTGCCCTAGAAGTAAATTTTTGATTCAACTAACAAACACCATTTACCTTGTCTATTTAACATTTTAAGATCAATTTCCTCTAATGAGAAAGAAACATTAATGAAGAGAATTTCAGGATTTCAGATGTCAGAATACTTATGTCTCCCATTTGCACAATTAATTGTGATTTATAAAAGTGAACAAATTATTGTGATGATAGTTTGTCTTTTTTAAGAGGTATTAAAACTGGCTAAAAAGTAAAAGTTATTATGAATAAACTTTCTGATGAAGCTACAGAGACATCGATTTTAGTAATCGGAAAGTCTTACATACTCTGGTAATTATCATATTTTCCTCTCTTTGTGTTCTGAGTACAACAGAAGGGCTGGAGGAGTTGATCAAGCACAGTCTTGTGGCTAATTGAGCAATACTGTCTGAATCATTTAATAGTTAATTATTTTTTTCTTCTGTATTTGACTAAAATTGCTCCAGCTAGGGCAGTTCTCAAAGATTTATTCAAAATCAGCACTTTTCTAACATGTGAAAGTCAAATGTAATTTTTAAAAAGTAAATTAAAAACTTTGTTAAAAGCTTGCAATAACAACCCATTTCCACACGTAGGTTTCTTTCAGGAGAATCTAACCTTAGTTTTTAAAATTTGTAAATTCAGAGCAAAAATGCATATATCAAATTAGAAGACTTTCTTTTATTTTTTATTTACTTTTTTTAGTTTTATTTTTTTATTATTATGTTATGTTAGTCACCATACATTACATCATTAGTTTTTGATGTAGTGCTCCATGATTCATTGTTTGCATATAACACCCAGTGCTCCATGCAGTACGTGCTCTCCTTAATACCCGTCACCAGGCTAACCCATCCCCCACACCCCTCCCCTCTAGAACCCTCAGTTTGTTTCTCAGAGTCCATAGTCTCTCATGGTTCATCTCCTCTTCCGATTTCCCCCCCTTCATTCTTCCCTTCCTGCTATCGTCTTTTTTCTTTCTTTTTTTTTTTTTTAACATATAATGTATTATTTGTTTCAGAGGTACAGGTCTGTGATTCAACAGTCTTAAACAATTCACAGTGCTTTCTTTTAAATTATTCTAGGAAAACATAGCTTTTCCACAGAAATCTACTTGAGAAAGATTTTTCATTCCAGATTTAAAAACTTCTGTTTTCACATGAATTTGCACTCACAGCTTTATTTTTTTGTTTCAACAGAAGTGACGTTAAACATTATTACATTTTATATGGTGCACTAGATATTGAAACGCAGACTGCAATAACACCAGGTCTTTGTCCTCAAGGACTTCAGAGATGGTTGGAACAACTAGCATGTAAACACAAGATAATATGCCTTCATCAAGTGAGAGCTGAGCAACAGTGAACTCTAAGGAGCTGTTGATCATGAAAATTACTTGTTTTTCCAAATTAGATGGCCCTTGAAATGAGGGGTGGACAAATAATTGATACTCTAGAAAACAGTATATGGATTTTAGGCATCCTTATCAGAGAAAGCAACATATAAAATTTCTTTGTGTTTAAGTAGTGGTAAGATAAAACCAGAACAATGTTAAAGCACCATGTTTTAAAAAATATAATTCAAATATAAGAGTTAAATTATCAATATTAAAATGAAGTATAGGGCACCTGGGTGGCTCAGTTGGTTAAGCGACTGCCTTCAGCTCAGGTCATGATCATGGAGTCCCTGGATCGAGTCCCGCATCGGGCTCCCTGCTCGGTGGGGAGTCTGCTTCTCCCTCTGACCCTCCCCCCTCTCATGTGCTCTCTCTCATTCTCTCTCTCTCTCAAATAAATAAATAAAATCTTTAAAAAAAATAAAAATAAATAAATTAAATGAAGTATAATATATTCAAGTATATAAATATATATTACCCTATCTAAAAACTGTTTTATAAATATTTATAACCTCTTCCAAATAAGAGCAATGTTATGAAATTTTTGAAATTTTCATACAGATTCTTTAAGGTTCTTTTGTTCTTTACAACACTACCCAAATGGGAATTAATATCATCATTCTGTGCTTCAATCTTAGAACATTTTATTTAGTAAACCATATTCATAGAAGAAATTAGAAAAAAAACATTCTATGAATAATGTAGCCCACCCTTGGTTATAGGTCTATTAATCAGAGAGTGGCATATGGTAAAATCAATGCATTCATTGTTATACTTTTAATATTTAATTAAATATTAAATATAATATAATAATGTTAATTAGAACTGCCTGGGGTGTTTTTATATGCCATCCTTTATGCACTTTTATTATTCACTTCACTCTCTCAAAATAGCTGTAAGACTTTAGTGTAGCAATAAAATACATCATGAACACAATATTCTATATGTGTTTAGAGAAAGGAAATATATTTTCTTACATGGCCATGGATTTGTCCTTTGTTAAAGATCTTGAAGTATTGTTGAGTTTTTTCATAAGCCAGTGAAAGGGACCAGAGGTAGAGAAAAATTTTAGTTAGCAAGTTTGATACGAACAAATTCAGAGAGTCAAAAAACTGTTGTATTGGCTTGAGGTGTTTAAATAGAATTCTCATCCTCATACATTTTACAATCCTGATGAATCCATATATCTAACATGAATAAATACTAATAATATATCTAATTATATATCTAATATATCTAACATGAATTTTGATAGACTTACCATTTTGAGATGGGAGTTTTAATAACATAACTAATGAGGGGGCTTGGATAGGATATTTTTTCGGATGATATTCTGTAGTAAACATTTTCCTCTTTTGCCCATATAAATCAACCTCATATACTGAAGCTTCTCTGTTACAAACTCTTTTACCTTCTGTCTATCTTGTATATTTATTCATATTTTAATTGGTAGTCTCACCAGTTTGGAAGCCAGAAATTGAGTATTATGGACAAAGAAGATTCAAAAATATATTTTTGAGGTGACCATTTAATAATCTCATATAATGACATCATTATTGCTACATACAAAATTAAAATTTTAGAAAAAGGCATACAGATGCAATATTTCAAGGTTGTCAAAGCAGTAATGAATAAAAAGTCAAACAAAACACACTGGTTATTTCATAATAATTTTATACTTTACTAAATTATGTTTTCTTCTTAAAAATATAGCAAACAAATAAATACTTTATTAAAATAATTCTCTCTATATATTTTCTTTTCCTTTTCAGGTGGTGCAAACATCTACTATTCATGATGTTAAACAAAAATTCCACAAAGCATGTAAGTTTTATACATAATTTAGAATTTATGTTACAGTTTTCTCAAATTGGTTCAAAGGTATCTGTAAGAATAAGTTCAACATTATGATGGAAAGAGTGTATGGAAATCATATTTTTACAGGAAACTCAGAAATAATGTGTTATATATTTCTTGACTATATTTTCGTATCTAACTCTAATCCACAATTCTCTTAGTTTTTCACAAAATTATTTTGTCCTTCATATTTGAACAAGTATTTACTTATATGTAAGCAAAATATTAAGCAAAAACTTTACTCCGTGTATTTATACTGGTCAAATCTCTTTCACATAGAGATTTTTTAACAACAAATTAAAACTATACTATTTAATTTTATTAATAGCCAAATTTACCTCATTAAGAGGTGTCTTTGTTATTTACTTAGAAATATTTATATGAGGTTTATTTAAATTGGATTTTTATTTTACAATTTTACAATAACGTTTACTCATAACTTAAACATCATGAAAATGTCTATAATTACTAGGAAGCATTTTTTATAGACTTTAATTTTAAAGCAGTTTTAGATTCATAGCAAAACTAAGCAGAAAATACACAGAGTTCTTATATACCCTCTGCTTTCACACATGCACAGACTCTCCCACCAACATTTCACATCAGAGTAGTACAGTTGTTACAATTCATGAACCTACATTGACAAATCATTATTTCCCAAGGTCCATAGTTTACATCAGAGTTCATTCTTTGTGTTGTACATTGTATGGTTTTTGCTAATGAGCATTTTCAATCTCTTGTATTTATTTGAACAATATTTCTTTTCTGAAAGTCTTAAAGCTCGCAATGTAATGCATCAAACAGTTTATAAATAAAGTAGGTAGAATTTTTAATAGGAACAGGTAGCATATATAGTATGGAATATAATTATTTAAAATATGCTTAACCTGTTTAAAATTCTTTGGGAAGGTAGGTTCTAATATTTACCTCAAAGACATGTAGGATTTAAATATGCAGAAATGAACCAGAAAGGGATTATGGTAAGGAAAAGAGAAAAAAACAAGTGCAGAGATCTGTCATGGAAATGATTCTCTAACTTTTAGAATGAAAATAAATTATATTTTTGCCAGTACTTTCTAAATTAGGGAGAACTTTTCCAAACTCCAAATTTGTGCCTCATCGCATTACCTATGTTAACCATATTATCCTGATTATTTACACAAATATTTCCTGTTTATTTGCATACTAATGCAGTTGTTTGTGTTATTCCTATCTTTGCATAAAATATGGTTCTCAAACTAATAATTATTGTCATCTGTGGAAAGACTTGGACTAAACTTATTTAATGAGGTCGTTTCAGAAAGTCTAGATTGTAGTAATAAGTGAGAAGACATTTGAAAATAATGCTTTTACTATGAAGTACAAAGTTGCAAGAAAATGGTTGTATTTAAATTAATAATGACAACGTAATAAAAATATGATTTCTACTATTGTCTGAAAAAGAGGAAATGAATTAAGGGCTAATGCATGTGTAGAAGGAATGTGCAATTACCTTGATGTGTAAGTCTATGACTGCTTGTATGACAGTTTGCAATATATATATTGATATACATAACAATTACAAGAAATCTTAAAAATTTTTGAGCCAGAAGTCCTGTATGTGGTTTAGAGCCTATTTCTAATAATAAGTAGTTTGCAGAAAATCTTAGAAATGTGCAGTTTCTGAACTGGATAATTAAAAATAAGACAGGCATCTGGGTGGCTCAGTTGGTTGAGCATTGGACTATTGGTTTCTGCTCAGGTTATGATCTCAGGGTTGTGGGATTGAGCCCAGGGTTGGACTCCATGCTTAGCGTGGAGCTTACTTGGGAGTCTCTCCCTCTCTCTCTGCCCCTCAGGCTCTCTAAATAAATAAATAAATAAATAAATAAATAAATAAATAAATGTAAAAAATGTGACAATAATGTGATTAGTTTTAAAAGCTGTATCAAGACTTAATGATTTCTTTTTTTTAGACTTAGTGATTTCTTTTTTTTTTTTAGACTTAATGTTTTCTTTAGAGGATTTTTTTTAAAGATTTTATTTATTTATTTGAGAGAGAAGGAAAGAACACAAGAGGGGGGAGGATAAGAGGGAGAAGCAGACTCCCCACTGATCAGGGAGCCCAATGAGGACCTCGATCCCGGGACTCCAGGATCATGACCCAAGTAAAAGGCAGTGGCTTAACCAAATGAACCACCCAGGTGCCCTAAACCTAATGATTTCTTGATGACTATTATTTTATTTATTTTCCTAGCCATATATCTAATCTTTAACAACTATATGTAAATTGTGATTTTTCATTATTATAAAATGAGTGTTATTTTATAAAGTATACCCATCACTTAAAGAAAAATAATATTCAAATGATTGTATTTATTATACCATACTTTATGTGGCCAACATGAAAAAATGCTCAATATCACTAATCATGAAGGAAATGCAAATTAATACCACAATGATGTATCATTTCACATCTCTCAGAATGGTTATTTTCAAAAAGACAAGAAAGAAAATGTGTTGGTGAGGATGTGGGAAAAGGGAATCCTTGTGCACTGTTGGTGGAAATGTAAATTGGTACAGCCACTGTGGAAAATAGCATGGAGATTCTGTAAAATATTAAAAATAGAACCACCATATGATCCAACAATTCCACTTGTGGGTATTTAACCAAATAAAATCAAAACACTAATTCAAAAAACGAATGCACCCCTTATGTTTAAGAGAGCGTTATTTACAATAACCAAGATACGAAAGCATAAGTGTCCACCTAAGTGTCCATCAATAGATGATGGATAAAAAGATATGGTACACACACAGACACACACACACACACGCTGGAATATTACTCAGCCGTAAAAAGGAATATCTGTTTGTAACAAAATAGATAGAAGTAGAGAGTATTATGTTCAGCAAAATAAGGCAGAGGAAGACAAATATCATATGACTTTACTTACATATGGACTCTTAAAACCAAAACAAATGAATCAACAAACAAAAACAGAAAGAGACTCATAAATACAGAAAACAAACAAATGATTGCCTGAGGGTAGGAGAATAGGGAGATGGATAAAATAGATGAAAGATATTAAGAAGTACAATCATCCATTTATGAAATAAATAACACATGGGAATGTGGTATACAGCATAGGAAATTCCCCCTTCTCATGATCTATCTCTGTCTTGCTCTCTGTCAAATAAATAAAATCTTAAAAACAAAGCAAAACAAAAAACAACTCTATTACATATTCAAGCTGAGTAGCATTACCTTATTTCATGTTACTTAAATCAATAACTATTACATGATTTCTTTATTTTAAATTTAAGTTAATTATCTTTTGGTGTACAATATGACTTTATTAGAATAATAGCTAATATTTTTAGAACATAATAGAACTTATAAAAAGCCAGGGCCAACTGTGTATATACTAATTTAAATCTGTAATGATATATTCCATTTTGTGGATTTAATCAATCAACAATCAAAATGTTTGCCAGAATAACAAGTAAATTACAGTGGAAAAATTCTGCCCAAATATTACAAGTTATTTTGCTATGCTTTATCATACTTAAAAGTATTTAGATTCTTATAATCTAGACCTCCTTAGAAAAGGGATGGATGAATAGTTAGCATGGATAAAATAGAAGTTATATTAATAAAAAGAATTTAAAGATTTTTTAAAGCAAATGTCTAGTGAATATATTCTTTCAAAACTCTGTCATTACTTGTTTTAGGGAGGAAGCCAAGGAATCTAAAGCAGAGATTAGACAATACTACTGCTGTACAAAATTGTATAAAGGTAGGATTTCATCTAAATAGTTTTAAAAAAACAACTTTTTTTCAAATCTTTAAAAACTTTTACTGGTTTTGTAGCTAAAAGTGATTTGCAATCACAACAAGATAAGGTGCTCTGAATGCTATTACCATTTCATGCATAATCTCTAAAAAGAACTAGCCTTCAACCACTTACTGTGAATGACAACTTCTGTGATTGTTTGGTGGACGTAAATACCATAGTTATAATTAAAATGGATGATAGGAAAAACTCTCTAAAGATCAAGGGAAGCCATTTTAGATTTCTTCCTAAGTTAACAGGACTGTGTATAAACTTCATTTAAACCAAAAGGCTGATTAATGGCCCACCAAGCATACTTTGTACACTTGCTTTTTAAATGAGTAGCCTAAAGGAAAACCATCTTGTCCATAAGATATCAATCAATGCTCCTACTGCCTGCATCCCTTAACACTAAAATTTGTGATTTCTGCGTATATGCTAATCTATAATCCTTTGAGATTTTACAAGAAGTACAAAATATATAACCCTATAAAAACTCTTCATTTTCCAGAGCACTTTCTTCCCTGTGAAGAGCATGTTTCCTGGGCAACTATCCTAACTTAGGCTCAAATAAAACTCTCTTTAAAAAAATTTATTTATTATATATATTATATATATAATAAATATAATATATATAATAAAATAAATAATAAATATAAATATAAATAAATATAATAAAATAATATAATCTATATTAATTTTTACTTAAATTCTATTTAGTGAACATACTGTGCAATATTGACTTCAGGAGAAGAATTCAGTGATTTATCACCTACATGCAACACCCAGTGCTGATCAAAAGTGCCCCTTTTAATACCCATCACCCAGCTACCCATCCCTCATTGCCTTCCTTCCATCAACCCACAGTTTGTTCTCTATCTTTAAGAGTCTCATGGTTTGTTTCTCCCTCTCTGTTCACATGTTTTGTTTCTTAAATTCCACATATGAGTGAAATCATATGGTATTTATCTTTCTCTGACTTTTTTCATTTAGCATAGCATACCCTACCTCCATCCACCTTGTTGCAAATGGCAAGATTTCATTCTTTTTGAGGGGTGAGTAATATTCCATTATATATATCTTCTTTAGCCCACCTGGGCTCTTTCCAAAGTTTGACTATTGTTGATAATGCTGCTATAAACATCAGGGTGC